ACTTACAGCAGATCTCTCAGCAGAAACTCTACAAGCCAGAAGAGAGTGGGGGGCCAATATTCAACATCCTCAAAGAACAGAACCTTCAGCCCATAATTTCATATCCTGCCAAAGTAAGCTTCACAATTGAAGGAAAAATAAAATCTTCTATGAACAAGCAAGTACTCAGAGATTTTATTACCACCAGGCCGGTTTACAAGAGCTTCTGAAAGAAGCATTATACATAGAAAGGAACAACCAGTATTAGCCTTTCTAAAAATATACCAAAAAGTAAAGAGCACCAACATAAAGAAGAATTTACATCAACGAATGGATAAAATAGCCAGTTAACATCAAATGGCAGTAATCCTAAATTTAAATCAACTAAATCCCCCAATCAAAAGATACAGCCAAAACCCAACGGTATGCTACATCCAGACCCAGTTCACATGCAAGGATACACAAAGACTCAAAACAAAGTGATGGAGAAAGATTTACCAACCAAATGGAGAGCAAAAATAAATAAATAAATAAAAAGCAGGAGTTGCAGTTCTCGCATCTGATAAAATAGATTTCAAAGCAACAAAGATATAGTGGTAAAAGGATCAATGCAACAATAAGAGCTAACGATCCTAACACCCAGATACATAGAGACTTAGACTCAATGAGACAGAAAATTAATAAGGCTATCCAGGACTCGAACTCAGATCCGGAACAAGTAAACTCAATAAATATTTATAGAGCTCTCCACTTTAAATATACAAAATATACATTCTCCACCTTAAATACACAAAATATTGATCGGCCATTATTAATACCCATTTTTAGAATAAAGCTACATTCCCGTTTTCTCTCCCTCTTTTTCTTCCTCTTTCTTCCTCTCCTTCACTCCTTTTTTTTCTTTCAAAAAAAAAATAATAAAATAAAATAAGACTTCAGCTCCTGCATTTGATAAATCCTCATATAGTATTCATTTCTACTTCATTCCTATGGATATATTGAATCCCCACCCAATTGGTGTTAGGGATGAAAGCATGGTTTTATCTTGAGGATTTCACTGGCTGGTGAGGGTAGTGGACATGTAGGAAAAGGAAGTTACAGCAAAACTATGTGCTATAATAGAGGGAGGACGAAGCATTGTAGGTGCTTATAGGAGGAAGTGACTCATCTTGTTCTGGGGATTTGGACAGTGCTCCACAAACGTGGTGACAGCTGCACTGAGTCTTAAAAGACACTGAAATTTGTTAGGTCAAGAAAGGGATGCCAGGCAGAGAGAATTGCAGGTGCAAAGTCTTGGAAGTTAGCAAGAGTATGAAAGTAAGAGAAGTACACAGTTCATGGAGTGGAATGGTGAAAGAGGAATAGACTTGATTCTTGTTAATCCGGTAGTGCCGGTGGGGTGGGAGGTCGGCAAAAAAGTTAAAATAGTTAGAAATAGAACTTGAAGAGAGAACTTGAAAAATAGTTTGTTATATAAAACATCTGATTGGTAATTGGGCTATTTTTTCTGCTACTGTATTTTTTTTTAATCACACATTTATCATCAATATAGAAAATAAAGAAAGAAAATCACTTTAGTATAACTCAACTGATGACATTTCAGTAGCATTATTTTTACCCAGCTGGGGTTCTGCCTGTCTTCACAAAACAGCTCTGTTCCACTTGGTGCATACATTTCTCACTGTGCTTCACTATTTGATGGTCCAGATATGAGGATTTGCAGTTATTTTCTCAGTAACAGCAAAACGAAAGTCTGTGTATTTTTCCCAAAATTATCCAGGAGTTTACCAGTTGAATCAAGGAATGGTATCACTTGTAGTACCAAGTATTTTATCATTAATAACTTTCACGGTACAGTAATTTGTCATCTAAACAGATGAAAAGTATGCGTTTTCAAGATACATTTTCAAATCACGTGTTTGAAATTGTCAAAAATAAGAGCACTATTTTACTTTTTAAATGGAAACATTGTAATTGTACATATTTATGGGGTACAATTTAATATTTTAATACATAAACATACGCATATAGTATAAAGAACCATATTCTATTTATGCTAACTGTTAGAGTCAGGCATGGTGGCTCATGCCTGTAATCCCAGCACTTTGGGAGGCCGAGGCGGGTAGATCACCTGAGGCCAGGAGTTTGAGACCAGCTTGGCCAACATGGTAAAACCCTGTCTACTAAAAATGCAAAAAATTAGCTAGGCGTGATGGTGGGTGCCTGTAATCCCGGCTACTTGGGAGGCTGAGGCAGAAGAATCACTTGAACCTGGGAGGTGGAGGTTGCAGTGAGCCAAGATCATGCTACTGCACTCCAGCCCGGATGACAGTGTGAGACTTAGTCTCAAAAAAAAAAAAAAAAAAAAAAAAAAAGAGTCATAGAGAAGAATTATGTACAACACTTAAAAATTTCCAGTTGGGGAAGGAGGAGGAGTCTCAGAAACTCATAAGTAAATTGCATTTAAAATTACTAAGTTTCGAGTGTGAGGGTTGATTTTATGGTGAAGCTATTGGAAAATTACAATTTACTGACTTAAAGAATATTTGCAAACATAGAATATGCACATATAAAGATATACAATATATAAAAATATGTAACATATAAAAATAAAATCAGAGTTGAAAGTGCATTGTTGTTTACTACAAAAGGGAAATTGTAAGTATTTTGCTGGTGAATAAATTCAGCTTGTTAGAGTTGTTAGAAAGGCAAAATAAAATATAAAGGAGAATAATTATTTTGATTTTTACATTTACAACTTGATTACCACAAGAATGCTCATATTCCAAATGAAATAATTGACATTAGAGAAACAAAACTATGGTGCTGCATTACTTTACAAGTGAAATAAATGTTTCTTCAGTGTATTAAACAATACATTACAAGCCAACTTAGTAACAATTTAAAAATTGCCATCAGTCTATGTAAGTAACCAAAAGAGGAAAGGCTCTCTTAATTAAAGAAATGCCCCTGAATTTTATTAGGCACAATAAGACAACTGACTAGAAGTGTCAAGGTTTTGTTTATTTGTTTGTTTTTTGAGACAGAGTCTTTCTCTGTCTCCAGGCTGGAGTGCAGTGGCATTATCTGGGCTCGCTGCAACCTCCACCTTCCAGGTTCAAGCGATTCTTCTGCCTCAGCCTCCATAGTAGCTGGGGTTACATGCACGTGCCACCATGACCAGCTAATTTTTGTATTTTTAGATCTCCATCTCCTGACCTCAAGTGATCCACCCACCTCTGCCTCCCAAAGTGCTGGGATTACAGGTGTGAGCCACCTCGTCTGTCTGTGTGTAGAGTTATTTTATACACATGATACACAGACACACACAGAGCAAGTGCAAATTAGAACCATGATGGTGCCACTCAACATGAGTGGAAGATTGAATGTGATGGTAAAATTTTAGAGGAAGAACTAAGTACTTGGTGGTGTCAAATTCTAAGGTTCACCAGTAAGTCTGAGGAACTAAAATCTCTTCAGTGCCCTCCAGTACGGTCGCTTCCTTGGTAACACCCTTTCTGAATTTCTATATAGATTACCACTTCCTTTAAAACTTTTATAAGAGGCTCAAAGATAGGACGTGCGGGAAGCTATGTGGTGTGTCAAAAATATATTGGTCTGATTGTTTCCTAACCTTATAGGCTGTCATTCAGAGGCTCCAGAGATCATTGAGATAATCTTGTAAACATAAAGAGGGATGGTGAATTAAATGATTGGCTGACACTGGTTTGCATATTTGAATTTTTCTTTCTTTTTTACCTTAAGGTTATTTATTATACACAAGAATTCTTTGTAAAGGAGGAGATGGAGAGATGTAGGTCAGAGGATGCAAAGTGACAGATATGTAAGATGAGCAAGTCTAGAGAACATGAGGACTATAGGGAATAAAACCGTACTCTTATTTGGGATTGATGCTACATAAGAATTCAGCTTCTTTTGACTTCAAAACAAAATAAATCGGGAACTGTGGGACGATGGATATGTTAATTTACTTCACTGTAGTAACCTTTTTACTGTCCATATGTATCCCATAGCATCATGCTGTATACTTCAAACGTCCACTGTAGCACTTATTTTTTAGAAAAGAAGTTTTTATAAAGAGCTTCAAAGAAAATGCATAGACATGTTTACTTGTTTTTATAAAGTAAAAGAAATAGTTTACTGCTTATTTAAAAATACACACACACACCTCAAAACCGTGTGGGCTGGGGTAATTATGCCAAAAAAAAAATGTCAAGATTTCAAAGGGAAAAAAAAGTTATTTTGGAGAGCAGTGATCGATCATAGAAGTTCAAATAGCACATGCCATAGTGCTTCATCTGGAAAATGGTATACAATCGATATATATATATATTTACCAAAGAAAATAAGTATTTGCTAAGTTTAAATTTACATTTTTCTGAGCGATTACAGCATGATGAAAATGTCAGAGCTGTTGTTTAAATGGAAGAAATAAGTGGAGCAAAGTCAACTATGTGCAGTAGTTTTACGGAATCAATGAAAAGGGGATCCTAGGACTTTGATCCTAGAACAAAGGAGCAGCAACTCCATCTGTGAGGACAGCCCCGGGTGATGGCTGTTTGTTTACTTTCCATGGTCTCATAGTAACGCTTCCTGCCTCAGCACCACTACCTGTGTACAGTTGCAGCTGTGCTGGTCAGCCACCATCCCCAGTGCAGAATACTTCTATTGTGCATTCCTGAGTTACTCTGCAGTGCCGGGGCTTGCAAAGTCTTGGAAGAGGAGGCCAGTGTCCTGGATATGAGTTTCTGACAGAAATGGTAACCAGATTACAAATCCTGAACACCTTACCTTACTTACCTCAGCAGTTTAAGACGTTAGTCAAGTGTGCTGTTAACAGTTTTCTAAGGCTGCCAGAACAAAGTACCAGAAACTGGGTGGCTTAGAAGAACAGAAATGTATTCTTTCACAGTTCTGGAGGCTAGCAGTCTGACACTGAGGTGTTGGCAGGGCATGCTTCTTAAGGCTCTAAGGAAGAACCCTTGCTTGTGGTCTCCTACCTGCTCGGGGCTCTTGGCAGTCCTTGGGATCTTCTTGAATTGTAGCTGTGTCACACCAGCCTGTGCCTCCATGGTCACAAGGCCCTCTTCCCTCTGTGTGTCTGTGTTTCTCCTCTTGTTTTAAGGGCAACAGTCATGGAATTTAGAGCCCACTATAGTCCAATGTGACCTCATCTTAACTGATTACATCTTTGAAGATCCTGTTTCCAAATAAGGTCACATTCTGCTAGGTGGACATGAATTTTGGAGGGACATAATTCAACCCACTACACCAAACAATGGACTTACAGTAAATTTGATCTTATCTAAAATAATGGTGTGTAAATAATTTTTTGTATGCTTTAGGTCTTAAATTATAGATTCTAAAGATTACTCAGTGGTTTTTAGGTGAATATGATACTTACTCTAGTGTTAAGATAATCAGTGAAAAATAACGTATTATAAAATGTTAGATGTAAAACTTTAACCCTGAATTTCTCATAAGACTTCTCACTTGCTTAATTCATGTCGTTTCATGGGGTTAATTGCTCTTACTATGTCTAAGGACTCTACATGTATTTGAAGTCAGATTATGAAGGATTGTATACACTAAATTAAGGGTTTGGATCTGACTCTGTGATAAAGGAAGAATCAGTAGAGATTCATTATTTTTAAAAGATAGTTTGGGTAGTAGTGTAGAAGATAAAAAACCCAGAAAAAAACTATTGAAACAGCACGGGTGAGATGACTGGGGTTTAGAACACACTGATGGAGATGGAGAAATGAAATTATATTGAGTAACATCCTGATGGTTTAGTAATTGATTAGATGATGAAGATAGCTAGTATTTATTAAGCATTTTCTATGTGCCAGGCACCAATCTAAGAATTTTTTTTTTTTTTTTTCTGAGACGGAGTTTCGCTGTTGTTACCCAGGCTGCAGTGCAATGGCGTGATCTCGGCTGACTGCAACCTCCGCCTCCTGGGTTCAAGCAATTCTCCTGCCTCAGCCTCCTGAGTAGTTGGGATTACAGGCGCATGCCACCATGCCCAGCTAATTTTTGTATTTTTAGTAGAGACAGGGTTTCACCTTGTTGACCAGGATGGTCTTGATCTCTTGACCTCATGATCTACCCGCCTTGGCCTCCCAGAATGCTGGGATTACAGGCGTGAGCCACCGCGCCCAGCCAGAACTTTTTATGTATTGTTTAATTCTTGCAATTCTCCTGTAAATCAGTACTATTAAAAGTTTTACTTCAGGTGATGAAACTGAGGAACAAATACTTGCCAAAGATCACATAGCTAGTAATTAGAGGAGTCAGGATTTGAATCCACAGAATCTGGTAAGGAAAAGGAAGGAGCTGGGGGTGAATCTTAAGGTTAGGAGACTGAGTAGATGGCTCTCTACCTTTTTACTGTCTATATGTATCCCGTAACATCATGCTGTATACCTTAAATATACACAATAACTTTTTTTTAGAAAATAAGTTTCTATGAAGAGCTTCAAAGAAAATTTATAGGCATGTTTATTTGTTTTGTATTTTTAAATAAAAGAAATAGTTTACTGTGTATTTTTAAAATTGAGAATACATTGCAGAATAGGGGAGAGTTGACCTGAAGATCATGAGTCAGTAGATTTAGTTTGGGATAGAGTGTTAAGTTCGAAGAGCTGCTGGTGGGAAGTAAGATAGGCGATAGTAAGTACTGAAAATAATATTTATTTATTTTTTTTTGAGCCACTGCACCTGGCCCCTTCACCTTATACATATGGAATTTCTGAAAGTCTTTTCATCTTAATGTATAACTAGTCTATTTTGTTTTTAGCATTTTTTTTTTTGAAAGAAAGAAAGAGAAAGGGGGAGAGAGAACAGGAGTCTTGCTCTATTGTCCAGGCTGGAATGCAATCTAAAAATAGATATTAAAAACCTCTTTTGTGCCGATAATTGTGCTTAACAGGGAAGAAAATAACAAACAGACAAACAATATTTCATTTAAGCCTGTGAAATTCTATACAAATGCTGAAGACTGATTTACTTCCAATTATGTGGTCACTTTCAAAATAGGTGTAATGTGATACTGAGAAAAATGTATGTTCTGTGGACCTCGGGTGAAGAATTCTAGAAGTATTCACTGAGTTTACTTGTTCCAGGTCTGAGTTCAAATCATAGATGTCCCTGTTAATTTTCTATCTCGTTGATCCGTCGAATATTAACATCGTGGTGTCAAAGTCTCCCGCTATTATTGTGCGGGAGTCCAAGTCCCTTCATAAGTCATTGAGAACTTGTCTTATGTATCTGGGTGTTCCTATATTGGGTGCACATATATTTATGATCATTGACTCCTGTTGTTGCATTGATCCTTTTACCATTATGTAATGTCCTTCTTTGTTTCTTTTAGTCTTTGTTACTATTAAAGTCTATTTTGTCAGAGATGAAAGTTACAAATCCTGTTTTGTTTTGTTTTGTTTTTCTTTCCATTTGATTGGTAAGTCTTCTACCAATCCTTTGTTTTGAGTCTTTGTGTGTCCTTGCTTATGAGATGGATCTAGATACAGCGAACCGATGGGTTTTGACTTTTTATTCAATTTGCCTGTCTGTGTCTTTGATTGGGGCGTTTAATCCATTTAAATTTAGGATTATTATTGGTATTTGTGAGTTTAATATTGTCGTTTAATGCTAGCTGGCTATTTTATTTTATATTTATTTAATATTTAATATTGTCATATAATGCTAGCTGGCTATTAAAAATTATATTTAATGTTAATATTTGTCTTTAATAAAGATAATATCACTTTAAATGTGTAAATTATGCGGCTGTGGTAAAACATGAGGAATCGGTGCCACCGTCTGCTAGTCCTGAAAAGCAAGCGTGCTTTAACGGGGTGTAATTCCCTGTGATTACGCATCCTTATATCATCCCTACATTAAGTTAGGTAGGCAAAAACTGTCTTAGCTGGAACTTTGTGAATTTTTTGGTCAATCAGAGAAAGGAGAGGAGTTCCTGAGTTTGTACCCAGCCGATCATTAGTGAACTTGCTTTATTACAAACTCCCTCCACACCCTCTCTCTTTGATCCACGCATCCCACCAAATATACCCCTGCGTTGCTCTAACCACAGGGAATTCCAGTTCAAACTGGCAGTTTATGGGAACTGCTTTTGTTGAAATGATTAAATAAAGAAATGCCTGTGAATTCTCCTTCTGAAGCGCTGCCTGTTTTCTGTGTCGTTTTGGTCTCATTAATCAGTGTTGCAGCCAGGCAGACACTCTGCTGTGTATCTTACTGTCCTCAGCACAGCAGCCTCTACGTCTCTGCTCCCAGGCCGACACATTGGGGAAAAAGAGAGAGGGAAACCATCAATCTTCCCAGTTGCACATGTCAGCAGTGATTCCTTCCCCCTTCCTGTTGGCTGTCTCTCTCACCACCTGTGTTTAGAATTAGCACTGAAGCTGCTGTCCAGATGAATAAGAACCACTGTCCTTGTCACCTGCCCTGGTACGGGCCACCACTTCTCAATGAAACGAGCATATCAAGCAGTTACCTCTAATGTGAATGGTGTAAGAGAATCACATACCGCTTAGAAGTTTATTATAACATAAAATTAAAATTTTAGGGCCACACATTCCAGTGAATCAAAGGAGTAAAAGCAAATAATTTCTTGAGTGTCTTGCTGTCTTCTCTTCATCTCCTTCTGAAGTTCATATGGCTGAGTTGATCGACCTGGGTTCGAGTCCTAGCTTCGCTATTTGCTGGGGTGGGCCATTTAACCCTTCTGTGCTTCAGTTCCTACATCCTTATGAAACAAGGATGGTAGTACCTCGGAGTTTCTCTGAGGAGCAAATCAGATAATACATTTATAGGTCTTGCTATAATGCTTCCCATGTGGTAAGCACACCATAAACGTTAGCTATTATTACCAGTAACTTCATTGTCCAGATAATAAAACTGAGTTTCAGAGAGGTTACATAATTTGCAAAAGGTACTTGTAGGCGTAGAAGGATTCTGAACCTAGCACTGTCTGATCCTCAAAACTCATGTCCTTTAGATTACACTACATTGTTTCTATTTTAGATTCATTTTACAAATAACTTCATATCTGAACTTCAATCATTTAACATTGTCTATGTCTTAATTTCCTGTTATTTAAAATGACAATGGTAATAACTACCATTCCTGTTAGTATGAGACTCTTTTAGTTACTATATCAACTCATTCAATCAGACCATATGCTAAAAAACAGGGCCTATTTTTTTTTTTTTTTTTGAAACCGGGCCTTGCTCTCTTGCCCAGGCTGGAGTACAGTGGCACAGTCGTGGCTCACTGCAGCCTTGATGTCCAGGCTCAAGTGATCCTCCCACTTCAGGCTTCTGAGTAGCTGGTACTACAGGCGTGTGCCACCATGCCTGGCTGATTTTTATTTATTTATTTTTTCTGGTAGAGACATGATCTCCCTATGTTTCCCAGGCTGGCTTCAAACTCCAGGCTCAAGTGATCCTCCCACCTTGGCTCCCAAAGTATTGGGATTGCAGGTGTGAGCCACCACATCTGGCCCAGGCTTATTTTTAAAATGTGGGGACACAAAAATGACATGTATTTTTTAGAAAAGTTAAACGATACAAAAAAGTCAAAAAGGAAGTCATGACTCCCATTTCCTTGTGTAACCACTAGTAAGGTAAGTATGTAGCCCGCCCTCCTTGTCAGCATTTACCTACTTAACAAATGTTTATATAGAACCACAGTGGGCTAAGCGCAATCCTGTCATTCCTCCCGTTTTACAGATAAGGAAGTTCTGTGATTTGCACAAGGAAGCACAGCACAACAAGGCTGGCATCAGACTCACGTGTCTGACTCTAGATTTGGGCTCCCCACCTCCACCCTGTGCCAATTCTCAGCAGTTAACAGGACCCATCTTCTTCTTATCTATTCCATAGTATTTCGTTACACAAAAAGAAAACTATGACTTATTTACTGTTTCCCCTACTGATGGACATTTGTTGCTTATCACCCTTTTTTTCCTCAGCTTGTAAGTTCAGGGCTACATGTGCAGGAGGTACAGCTTTGTCACATAGGTAGATGTGTGCCGTGGTGCTTTGCTACACAGACCATCCTGCCACCTGTGTAGTAAGCCCGGCGTCCATTAACTATTCACCCCGATGCTCTCCGTCTCCAACCTGGCAGGCCTCAGTGTGTGTTGTCCCCAACCCCATGTGTCCATGTGTTCTCATCATTCAGCTCCCACGTACAAGTGAGAACACGTGGTATTTGATTTTCTGTTCCTGGGTTAGTTTGCAGAGGACCGTGTCTTCCAAGTCCATCTGTGTCCCTCCAAGGGATATGGTCTCATTCCTTTTTAGAGCTGCATAGAATTCCATGGTATATATGTACCAGTATAATTCTTTTGCAATTAAATAATCAGGGGGAACACCAGATCTTCTTACATTCTTGTGAATATTTCTACAGAACAGATTTCCATACGTTGAATGGTCGGGTGGAAATAAAACAAAAATTTGACCTCCAGAAATGGTTAGATTACTGAGAGCGTACTCTGTGCCAGGTTTATACTAATAAACTTGACACCGTCCTCCTAACCACCCTACGAGGTAGGTACTATTATTGTCCCTATTTTGTACATGTCCAAGGCCGTGTGAGTAATAGGGCAGAGTCTTGAATCCCGGCAGTGGAGCACTAGATTCTGCTTCTCAACCATGTTTATAACCACGCCAGGTATAATCATAGTTCAGCGCTTGGTTTTGTCATTAGTGCTTAACTTACCGTAAGGTTGACTTAAGTCTGAGCTGGCAGAGGGGTCTGAACTGATGCAAATGTGGTTGGAACAACCCTTCGTCTTCTGTCAGTCTACAAGTCGGATGAGAAAGGGAGCCATGATTAGCTGGAACATGAGACTTATTTGCTCCTACAAGAGGTGACATAACAGTAAAAGAGATTTCCTTTTTTGTAAACTATTTTATGCCATGAAAAGAACTTTAGAAGTGTGCTTTCCTGTTTGTATTGTGGGTATTTTGTAAGAAATTCACACTGCCTCACAGAGGTTCATGACATAGTCATGGAATCACATCATACGCTGCACATGAGAATCGCTGGCATCTCAACTTCACGCCGCCAAGGCCACCTGATACTAGTCCAGGTCTTGGCCAACCAACGGAGCTAACCCCGAGACCCACCCACAGTGCTTGAGTGTTGAATCCTCCTCTCCTGGTAGGAGGGATCAGAAGAAACTAGGGAGTTTCCCCAGCAAGGTCATGGGTAGAAAATTAGGCAGAGATAATTTTATCTCCAATCCATTATAGTTTGGATGTTGAAGACTCCTCAGTGGTATTACTTCTTTGGTGATGTCCAGGCTTTATATGCTTTCTGAATCCTGAAGTCATAGAGATTTATGGAATTGGACTTTGCCAAGTAAGTCTACCTAGCCGTCCAAGATGGCGTGCCTACTTGTCACAGATGACTTCTTTCACCAGCATAGAGGCTATGACCACAGCTTCATAATCTTCTGTCGTTCATGGCTGCCGCATGTAATATCCAAACTGCTGGGAGCTGAAGAGGCCTCTTCCTGTACATTATTAAATCACTGTCATAGAGATTTTATTACCTTGAAATGTAAATTACTAGCAAGTGAACTTAGTCCTTTTATTTGTGTATGTGTGTTTCACTGTTTCCTAGCAGGTTGGCAGCTTTGGAAGATAATTATGTAGCACTTGGCCTCGAACGGTGGTTTCTCATTCTTGGCTTCATATTAGAATCACCTGGGAGCTTTTAAAACTCCCAGTGCTCATGCCAAATCCCAGACTGATTAAATCAGAATCTTTGGGGTGGTGCCTAGGCATCAGTATTTTTTAAAGCTCCCAGGTGATTCCAGTGCAGCCAAGATTGAGAACTGTTGGCTTAGAAGGGACCTTCTCCTTTTCATTCAGAGTGTTTTTATCTGTACCTCATTTTCTGCAGTTGAAGTGAATTTTAAGAATAGGTTATTGGTGCCCACAAGCCTCGCTCTAACCTGAGCATACGTCACAGTTACTGCAGGGGCTTGTTAAAGCACTGGTTGCATAACTTTTCTCATGTCTTCTTCTGGGAGAAGCCCCACTCTTAGAATTCCTGATTTAGTAGGTCTGGGTTGGAACCCAAGACTGCATTTTCAACTAGTTCCCATCATGGTGACACTGCGGGTACTGGGAACACACTTTGAGAGCCTCTGCTCTAATCCCTTCCTCTCACCTTCCTTCTGCTCTTTTCTTTTTCTCCAGCAGTGGCCAGGCCTGCTGCCTCTGGCAGTTCACACTCACAGGATCAGTGTCAGGAAAGGCAATGAGTGCACGAGCTTGTCCAGCCTGTAGCGCCTCCTCAAAGTAACCGTACAGTCTGAGAAGAGTTCACCGCATATGCCTATGCAACCTTCTCTGCACGCATAATGCTCCCCGTAAGTTCTTTCTACTGCAAAATCAAAGCCACCACCGAATAGATTGCTGGTATCCAAAATGGACCTTGGATTCCACTCTCCCACAGAAACAATTTTATGGATGGTGGTTAGGTACAGCTGAAAATGTGCTGTTGAAACCATTCTCCAATACTTTTGTAGGCTCAAAGAGACTTCGATGGTCTGTTTCCCATTTAAAGAATTCAATTTCTGAGTTTCAAAGAACCAATTTTTAAACAAACTCTTAGAACGTAACTTGTTTAGCGATTGCCTGCAACGGAAACATTTGGCGTGTTTTATTTATAGTTATTTTACCCTTTACATTTGGAGCCAAAGTATGGGAGAAAGGATTTGTCATGATTCAGTTAACATTTATTAGGGGACCACAATGTACCTGGCACTGTGCTATTTACTGGGTATGTAAAAAGATAGCCCCTGCCCTGGAGGAACTCATATTCTAGGCAGGAAAATATATCTATGGAGCAAATAAAAAATATTTTCCAAGTTACCAATGTGATTTGTGCAATAATGAATTGATGAAGGAGGGGTCTGTTCTTCTGAGAGAGAGACATGATGGTGTGTGTGGTGGAGCATGGAGCCTGTGTGGGTGTGTTTGTCAGGAGGAAGGACGGTATTTAAGAGGTTCAGAATCAGAGATGCTTACAGCCTGCTGACCAAGGGGAGAGTTCCCCATGCAGAAAAGGGGGTCAAGGGCATTCTAGGATGTGGAAGATTGTGAATGCAGAGGGGACTACTCTACAGGAGAAAGGCAGGTAGTCAGCTGAGTTCCCCAGGTGGTGTGACTGGAGAATGACTGGGAAGGGCACTGACCACCCCACAAAGTCAGAGTCTTATCTCAGAGGAAGAAATGAGAAGAGCTAAGCTAAGTCAGCATGCGTGATATTTGCACTTTTATCCCATATGTTAGTATCTGTCTTCTCATGTATATTCCTCAATATCCTGAGGAAGAGTTTTAATTTCAACAGAATACTAATCTTTGAAAATGTCTAAAAGCGGTCTTCAGATCGTGCTCTGAGAAGGTCAAAAGAGTAGGCAGGGACCCACCAGAGCTCCCTCACCGACTCTGCTATTATCCGTCCACCTCTCAAGCTTTTCTTTGGACCATTCCACTTATTAGGCACATCTAAGAATATTATATTTGAAAAAGGGCACGCAACTAGGAAAGTTTTAAAACCGGTGTAATTTAATCCTCACATGTGTAGTAAGTCTGAAGACTCGGTGTGGATAGCCACATCTCTCAGCTGCTGGCCGAAGAATAAATGTTGTCAGATAATCAGCTGAAGAAGGGAATCAGGCAGGTGTCGATGTGGATGTGTGAGCAGTGATAATCGTTGGTAGCATAAGCCTTTACTTGGCCATAAGAAATAATGACAGTATAACTGACCCCCAGAATGAACACTTGAAAATCACTGTTAGAATTTTCTTATGGAGGCCAGGTGCAATTGCTCATACCTGTCATCCCAGCACTTTGGCCAGTTTAAAAAATTAGCCAGGGCATGTGCCACGCTGCCTTGCTCGGGCACTCATACCTGAATGCTGGGCACAAGCCCATGGACATGAACCCTTTAAGGCGAAGCCGATCAACCAACTGAATGAGTGACAGGTCCAGCCTGGGGTGGTCGATAAGGTGTCCTGTGACTCCAAGTGCAAGGACGGCGCCTGGATCTTCCTGGGAGGGCTTCCTTATGAACTGAATGAAGGGGACATCATCTGTGTGTTCTCACAACATGGCGAGATTGTTAACATTCATCTTGTGCCGGACAAAAGAATGGGAAATCCAAAGGATTCCATTTCCTCTCCTAGGGAGACCAGAGGAGCACAATTCTGGCTGTTGACAATTTAAATGGGATTAAGATCAAAGGAAGAACTATCTGAGTGGATCAAGTGTCTAACCACCGAGTACCTAAGGAGTCAGGAGAAATAGAGGATGTCACCCGAGAGCTCCAGAGAAGGGCTGTGGGGCTCGTACTTCCTCACCAAGTTTGTCTCAGAGCTCCGAAAATGACAAACCAACACAAAAGCACAAAAAAGACAAACAGGAAAAAAAGGAAAGAAAGAAAGAGAGAAAACTGACTGGGAGGTACAGGCAGTGCAACCATCCTCTTCATCATTCGGAAACGAGACAGCAAAGGAAAAGGATGACCTGGCCCTAAGAAACACAGCAACAAGAACTCAGAGATAGCTCAGAAGCCAGAGCCCAGGGAGGGGCGGAAGCTCCCCGGGGCCAGGACTGCCTACTCTGGTGGAGCAGAGGACCTAGAGCCGGAGCTGAAGGAGGAGAAATCGAACCACAAGCCTAAGTCCTCAAGCAGGAGAGAGGCAAAAGAAAAGACCAGGGATAGGGACAGAGGGCGGAGTCAGACACACATTGTAGCCTGTACAACGGGCGTTCTGAAGGGTGTAGTCATAGGGGTTGAAGTAGGAGCTGAGATAAATCTCAGAGGCATAAAAGGGCCCGGCGCTCCCGGGAGCCTTCGAATCCCAGTGACCATAGGCTTCAGTGAAGATTGTTCAGCTGCTCAGTACATTTGGAAATAGTTATGTTTTTTAAAGGCAGTCAAATTCAGTTGGGTTGTTGCTATTTTTGTATCTAAAGCTTCTGGGGCTGGATTTTTTAAATCCCTTGAGTATCAGAGTCATTGAGAGGGCTGCAGTTTCAACAGATATCCTGGATATCCTTCGCACCATCCATTGTCCCTGTACCAGAATATGTGTCCTGAATTTTCGTTCATAAATATGGCTCTTGAACCCATAGACCCCAGTTGACGATGGAATTTTCAGGAAAGGGAAAATACCAGATAATTCCAGAATTCTAGTTTTTGTGTTAGAGGTCTAGAGCTCAGCGTCATGGGACCCTTCCAGTTACTAGGTTTGGACAGCTTGATGTGAATGAATGGGATAGGATTTTTAAGGTCAACCAGCTCCATGCCCAAACCCTCCTGTTTTAAAAAAATGTTAATTTCTTTTCTTTTTCATTAAAATTTTCTTGTTTGATATGCCTCTTTCCACATTTTTCCTTGCAATGCATTTATTATTTATTTGTATTGAGATGAAATTCACGTAACATAAAGTTAACCATTTTAAAGGGAACAATCCAGTGGCATTGGTGCTTGGCATCCACACTGTTGTGTAACCATTGCCTCTGTCTAGTTCCAAAACATTTTTTATCATCCCAAAATGAAACCCTGTATCCATTAAATTGGAACTCCCCAAGTCCTCCCTCCTCCCTGTCCCTAGCAACCAGCAATTAACTTCCTATTTACTGGTTTGCCTATTCTGGATATTTCATATAAATGGAATTATACAAAATAAAAATTAGCCAGATGTAGTTGTGTGTGTGTCTAGTTCCAGCTACTTGGGAGGGAGGGTGGATTGCTTAAGTCTAGGAGTTTGAGGCTATGGTGAGCTCTGATCATTCCATCACACTCCAGAGAGACACCCTGTCTCAAAACAAAAGGAATTTTCATATGAGGAAAAACTAATTTTTAAACATTTTATACCATTTTTATACTTTTAAAATTGTAGTGCTTCTTGATATATTACCTGGACTTACTATCTCATTCAAGGGAAAAATAAATAGCCATTGCTGTTGTAAACAGTGCTGCAATGAACATTCGTGTGCATGTGTCCTTATAGGAGAATGATTTATAGTCCTTTGGATATATACCCAGTAATGGGATTGCTGGGTCAAATGGAATTTCTGTTTCTAGATCCTTGAGGAATCGCCACACTGTCTTCCACAATGGTTGAACTAATTTACACTCCCACCAGCAGTGTAAAAGTGTTCCTATTTCTCCACATCCTCTCCAGCATCTGTTGTCTCCAGATTTTTTAATGATCACCATTCTAACTGGCATGAGATGGTATCTCAGTGTCATTTTGATTTGCATTTCTCTAATGACCAGTAATGATGAGCATTTTTTCATGTGTTTGCTGGCCTTATATATGTCTTCTTTTGTAAAGTGTCTGTTCACATCCTTTGCCCACTTTCAAATGGGTTTGTTTGTTTTTTTCTTGTAAATCTGCTTTAGTTCTTTGTAGATTCTGGATATTAGCCCTTTGTCAGATGGGTAGATTGCAAATATTTTTTCCCATTCTGTTGGTTGCTGGTTCACTCTGATGATTGTTTCTTTTGCTGTGCAGAAACTCTTAAGTTTAATTATATCCCATTTGTCTATTTTGGCTTTTGTTGCCACTGCTTTTGGTGTTTTAGTCATGACGTCCTTGCCTATGCCTATGTCCTGAATGGTTTTTGCCTAGGTTTTCTCTTCTAGGGTATTTATGGTGTTAGGTCTTATCTTTAAATCTTTAATCCATCTGGAGTTAATTTTAGTATAAGGTGTAAGGAAGGGGTCCAGTTTCAGCTTTCTGAACATGGCTAGCCAATTCTCCCAACACCATTTATCAAACAGGGAATCCTTTCCCCCATTGCTTGTTTTTGTTAGATTTGTCAAAGATCAGATGGTTGTAGACATGTGGCATTGCCTCCAAGGTCTCTGTTATGTTCCATTGGTCTGTATCTCTGTTTTGGTACCAGTACCATGCTGTTTTGATTACTGTAGGCTTGTAGTATAGTTTTAAATCAGGTAGTGTGATGTCTCCAGCTTTGTTCTTTTTGCTTAGAATTGTCTTGGCTGTGTGCGCTCTCTTTTGGTTCTATATGAAGTTTAAAGTGTTTTTTTCCAGGTCTGTGAAGGTCAGTGGTAGGGGTTAGCTTTGAATCTGTAAATTACTTTGGGCAGTATGGCCATTTTCATGATATTGATTCTTCCTAACCAGGAGCATGGAATATTTTTCCATCTGTTTGTCCTCTCTTATTTCCTTGAGTAATAGTTTGTAATTTTCCTTGAACAGGTCCTTTACATCCTTTGTTAGCTGTATTCCTGGGTGTTTTATTCTCTTAGTAGCAATTGTGAATGGGAGTTCACTCATGATTTGGCTGTTTGTTTGTTATTGATGTATAGGAATGTTTGTGATTTTTGCATATTGATTTTGTATCTGGAGACTTTGCTGAAGTTGCTTATCAGCTTAAGGAGATTTTGGGCTGAGATGATGGGGTCTTCTAGATATACTATCATGTTGTATGCACATGGAGACAATTTGGCTTCCTTCTTTCCTAATTGAATACCCTTTATTTCTTTTTCTTGCCTGATTGCTCTGGCTAGAACTTCCAGTACTATATTGAATAGGAGTGATGAGAGAAGGCATCCTTGTCTAGTGCCAGATTTCAAAGGGAATGCTTCCAGTTTTTGCCCGTTCAGTATGATGTTGGCTGTGGGTTTGTCATAAATAGCTTTTATGATTTTGAGATACGTTCCATCAATACCTAGTTTATTGAGAGTTTTTAGCATAAAGGGCTGTTGAATTTTGTTGAAGGCCTTCTCTACATCTATTGAGATGATTATGTGGTTTTTGTCTTTGGTTCTGTTTATGTGATGGATTACATGTATAGATTTGCATGTGTTAAATCAGCCTTGCATCCCTGGGATGAAGCCTACTTGATCATTATGGATAAGCTTTTTGATGTGCTGTTGCATTCAGTTTGCCAGTATTTTGTTGAAGATTGTTGCGTTAATGTTCATCATGGATGCTGGTCTGAAGTTTTCTTTTTGGGTTATATCTCTGCCACGTTTTGGTATCAGGATGATGTTGATCTCATTAATGAGTTAGGGAGAAGTCCCTCATTTTGTACTGTTTGAAATATTTCAGAAGGAATGGTACCAGCTCCTCTTTGTACATGTGAGAGAATTTGGGTGTAAACCCATCTGGACCTGGACTTTTTTTTTGGTTGGTAGGCTATTAATTGCTGCCTCCACTTCAGACCTTGTTATTTGGTCTTCTCAGGGATTCAGCTTCTTCCTGGTTTAGGCTTGGGAGGGTGCAAGTGTCTGGGAATTTATCCATTTCTTCCAGGTTTACTGGTTTATGTGCATAGAGTTGTTTGTAGTCATCTCTGATGGTAGTTTGTATTTCTGTGGAATCGGTGGTGATCTCCCCTTTATCATTTTTTATTGCATTTATTCGATTCTTCTCTTTTCTTTTTTATTAGTCTGGCTAGAGGTCTATTTTGTTGATCTTTTCAATAAACCATCTCCTGGATTTATTGATTTTTTAAAGGGTTTTTTGTGTCTCTATTTCCTTCAGTTCTGCTCTGATCTTAGTTATTTCTTGTCTTCTGCTAGCTTTTGAATTTTTTTTGATCTTGCTCCTCTAGCTCTTTCAATTTTGATGCTGTATTCTGGAGACCCATCTCATGTGCAAAGACACACATAGACTCAAAATAAAGGGATGGAAGAAGATTTGCCAAGCAAATGGAGGGGTTGCATTCCTAGTTCCTGATAAAACAGACTTTAAACCAGACTTTGAAAAAACAGCAGGTGTTGCAGTCCTAGTCTCTGATAAAACAGACTTTAAACCAACAAAGATCAAAAGAGACAAAGAAGAACATCGCATAATGGTAAAATGATCAACGCAACAAGGAGAGCTAACTATCCTAAATTCGTATGCACCCAATACAGGAGCACCCAGATACATAAGGCAAGTTCTTAGAGACCTACAAGGAGACATAGACTCCCACACAATAATAGTGGGAGACTTTACATTCCACTGTCAATATTAGACATCAAATCAACAAGGATATCCAGGACTTGAACGCAGAACTTGAATAAGCAGACCTAATAGATATCTACAGAACTTTCCACCCCAAATCCACAGAATATACATTCTTCTCAGCACCACATCGCATTTACTGTAAAACTGATTACATAATTGAAAGCAAATCACTCCTCAGCAAATACAAAAGAATGGAAACCATAACAATCTCTCAGACCACAGTGCAATCAAATTAGAACTCAGGATTAAGAAACTCACCCAAAACCGCTCAAGTACATGGAAATCGAACAGCTTGCTCCTAACTGATGACTGGATAAACAATGAAATGAAGGCAGAAATAAAGCTGTTCTTTGAAACCAATGAGAACGAAGACACAACATACCAGAATCTCTGGAACACATTTAAAGCGTTGTGTAGAGGGAAATTTATAGCAATAAATGCCCACATGAGAAGCGAGGAAAGATCTAAAATCTATACCTTATTGTTAACATTTTCTAATTATTTATGTCATGTTTAGATAATTGTTCATTTAGTTTTCATCATCTTTCTAAGAATAAAAGGGACGTGCCTCCTTATTCTTTGCTTGCGTGTAACCTTTGCATTTAAATATAGGTTGGCTGCCCTGAGGCAATGTTGTAATCCTTCCTGGGAGCCAGAGTTTCACGACTTTATATTTTGTCATTTCTGTCTGCTGGGGCGACACTCACTGAGTACTGTTTGACAGAAAAAAGATAAAAAGACCTGAAGAAAATAGCCCCAAAAGACGTTTCGGTACAAAAGAAATAGCCACAGAAGAAAAGAACATTATAAAATTAAAAACCTGGTGTCTTAGTTCACTCGTGCTGCTATAACAAGATAGTACAGACTAGTTCATTTATGAAGAACAGAAGTTTATTTTTTACAGCTCTCGAGGTGGGGAAGTTCAAGAGCGAGGCACCAGCATTGGTGTGTGAGGAGGGCCGCCCTCTGCTTTCAAGATGGCACCCCCAGAGAGGAGGAATACTGTGTCCTCACATGGTGGAAGGACAAAACAGTGCAAACTTTCTCTGAAGCTTTCTCTTTTTTTGAGACAGAGTCTCACTCTGTCACCCAGGCTGGAGTGCGGTGGTGCTATGTCGGCTCACTGCAACCTCTGCCTCCAGGGTTCAAGTGATTCTCCTGCCTCAGGCTCCCGAGTAGCTGGGATTACAGCTATCCGCCACTATACCTGGCTAATTTTTGTATTTTTAGTAGAGATGGGGGCTGGTCTCGAACTCCTGACCTCACCACCTGCCTTGGCCTCCCAAAGTGCTGGGATTACACGTGTGGGCCACCACACCCAGCCTGAAGCTTCTTTATTAAGGGCATTAATCCATCCATGAGACAGAACCGCCATGTCTTAATC